TCTTTTCTTTGGCCCGCTCATTTGTACAGAAGGGTTCATCCGGGTTCTTAAGGGAGTAATACACCACACTCTGAAGTGCGCCATCTATTGGGGAAACGCGGGCATTACAGGGGAAAACAAACAGGTTTAATTATAATAACATTTAATTTAATAATAATATAATTTGGACAAGTTCGGCGGGCCGGATTAAAAAGCCCAACGGGCCGTATATGGCCCGCGGGCCACAGTTTGCACATGCCTGGCCTAGACGGTATAAGTACTACCACATTTTTCCATAGAATCTTAAAGCTTTCTCAATTTTTTTTGTTTGAATCAAACATTTTTCCTCCTGTTTTTTGGGTAGACAGGAAGGTCAGATTTGTGTTTATTTTAAACATCAGGTGAGATTTCTTTCATTTCTAGTTAGCAGAGATTTTGTTGGTTATTTCGGAGCACCCTGAAGTCATTGCTTCCTTTCTATTGATTATCTTTCTAAAATACATATCTGCTTAAATATTTGATCTATTGTTGTAAAAGAAATAAAAAACATAAAAATAAGATGAATTAAAAAGTGCGGGATGTGATATAAAGTATTTGATTTTGGTTTGATTTTAAAGAATGTTTTAGATATCATTAAATACATTAAGTTTTGATGATTTAAACATCTTTGTTTTCAAATGTTCTGTAAATTCACCACTGACGTTATCTTTAGATTTCATTCTTTGACACTGAACATGATCTGAGTTCCCAAATAGAACATTAAAGGTTTTCTACCTTTTCTGTTAAGTTTTGGTATCTTGTATGTGACCTGTGATCTTTACATTTGTTTTCTAACCACTCCTAAAACATTTTGATGTTATGTGGACAGTGTTAAAACGATGTTATTGTCTATCATGGGTGAAACTCAGAGGCCATGTACTTAAAGAAGGTAATTGGTAAACACCTCAAAGAGAAATTAAAATCATGTTCAAACTTTTCTCCCTTTAAAGAAAAATAAAGTTAAATATTAAAAACGGGGGGGAACTGTTAGTACGTATTTTCATGGATTCATTCATCTTGATAATTTTGTGGACATATCTTTAAATTCTGTCAACCATCTCACAGTAATTCTACTTTTGGGTCTGTGAAGCTGTAACCTTATATGATGAAACATGTAAATTGTAGCAGATCTGTGTTTGGATAGGAGCCAACTATATGTTGTCAACAACTGTTTGGTAGACAGAGAGTCTACATCTGATACGTATACAAATCAGTGTCATGTCATCTTTATTGTTTTATAGTGATGTACCCAAATGGAAAGGAATTTGTTGGCTGTACCTTCTAGCAGAATATAAGCCACACTGTGTGATGAAGACTTTGGTCCATTTTGCCATTTTGCCAATGATTGTCAATGATTGTGAGATCTTGGTCAGCATGGGTCAGCGATGGTCTGCACTTTGTCAGCCATGTGTGTTGTGTTTCTGTGTTGTCTGACCATGGCTGAATAAATCTAAGATGATCCACAGTCTGTTTCACGTTTTCATAATTGTCCATCTACTACAGAAATAACCCCCACCTAACAGTAACTGTCAGGAACATATTTTACAGGCTCAATCTTGGAGCAGGATTTTGTTTTTCTTTAACTTTTAGAGCAGCTTTTTCTGTTCTTCAAAAATGTTTCTGTCAGTTTCTGTTTTTTTAAACAAACATACTTAGAGTTGTCAGTCTTATTTTTCTGAAGTTCTCAGAAATATAAATGCCTCTGTACTTGACTCCTTCTTTTCATCTGAATTTCTGTACATAAATAAACTGAGACATGTTCATCTCTTCACTGACTGACAGGATGTTTTTGTTTTGTTATTTATAGATTGTACTTTAACAAGTCCAGGCACAAGGAGTGCAGTGTGCGTTATATACACTGCAAATATGTGTCACATTGTCAGTTCACTTTGTCTCACATTCCTGCAGTAAGATTTTAACTTGCTTTCTTGCAATGAAATCCTTTTTTAGGATTAACACAGTGAAATATCAGACGAGGCAAAGTCAGAAGTTACTAAGCAACAGAATCAGTCGGCTACTTGGCTCAGTTGAGTGGTTGACACACAGTTCTCTCATGTTGTGCAGGAAAATACAGCAGAGTTTAGTCTCTGGGTTTTAAGTGAAAGACACGTTACAGCTAAATGTTCAGTTCAAGTTAACTGACGAATAATTTGAGTGACTTTTGTTTTATTGTAGCCACATAATGACATTAAACAAGAAGAGAGACAATGTGTGTGCCAATTGAAAAGACATAAGGACATATTTTGACTATGTAATGACATGAAATAACTAGAATATCAGCTCACACCAAATACATATTGTTATATTATTAAATATACTTTATGGTCTGATTGATCATTTTCAGTTAATTTAAACTATTAAGATTATAGTACCTTCAGCTCAAGTCATAAGTCCATGAGGACTGACCGTAGACTGTTAGAGACACTGCGCTCCCTCTAGTGGACACATAGAAAACTACAACAACACAATCAAACAGAACACATCGTTTTATTTCTGTTTTTGTTGTGACTGGGAGAGCGAAAGTTTGTAAAGTTTCATTGTGTATCTTGTTAGTTTATTTGTTCTGTTAAAGTTGTTAAAAAGATCAACGTTATACATTCATGTTAGTTAGAAGAAAGCTCTTTTTACAAACCGTTGACCGGAAGCACTCGTTTGCTGTTCTGTATGAGTTTTACAGTTGATTGAATGTTGCTGAGTGAGCCGTTAAAACAACACCGCCCTCATGTGGCCACAGGACGTTACTGCACTGAAGTCGAGTCAAGACAAAACACCGTTTTTCTTATTGTTAAACTTGGTTTTATATATTATTTTACATCTATTTATTTTATTTGACCTTTTATATATTACATAACCTCCATTTGTTTTCATTGAACCTTTAATATCATATAATTTATCATATCGTTTAAAGTTTTCTTTACTTTTCTTCAAAATATGTGAGTTACCCTTAAATAGTTTATGAGTTATTCTCTGTGTTAATTCAGCAGCAGATTTGGAGAAGTTTTTAGATTACTAGATAATGTTTGTGATTGATCTATCTTGGTTAATCTTTTTCCAGTTCTTACCAGTTAAACCAGTTAAACCAGTTAAAACAAAAGAATGGACTCCTCATCATCTGTGCTCTCTTGTGCTTATCGACAGATCACTGATGACTGACTGATTGGTATGAATCATAGACTGTAAATATTATGAATCCCTAAACTTGTGAACCCCAGAGCCCCCTAGACTGTAAATGTAAAGGGCGGAGCCCCACAGAGTAAAAGTACTTCCGGTCACTGACATAAAAAAAAAAAAAAAACCTTTTCAACAACACACATTGACCTTTGTTACCGTTCCTTTGAGCCTTTTGACATCAGTTTATGATCCACAACCACTTCCTGTTTCTGTGCTTTAGTTCATTAACTAGACTCTTCTCCTCTGTCGCCCCTACTGGTGAAAGGAACTAAACTCCATTCGATCTGCAGAGTCCCTCTGCACCTTTAAGAAAAAGCTAAAGACCCAGCTCTTTATGACCACCTACCACCTTAATGATATTATTGATGATGATGGTTTTGTTTGATAATGATGATGAAGATATTTAGGATAGTTTTGATGCTGATTAGATCTCTGAAGAACAGCTGTCGATGTTGTGCTCTGCCTCTGGAGTGATATTTTTGGATAGGTAGTCGAATTTAAATCAGGAGAGACGAGTGAATTAAGAAAAAAATGATTTATTATAATGGATAAGATGGAAATGTGACTTGACAGAAATACTTTGGAGCTTGGACTCTATGGGGGTGATTGATGTTTGAAGAATAACAATTCTGAGTGTTGACAGAATAAATCCCCTGATGGAGTCCAGACCCTGGTGGTGCTGAAGCTGAGGACATGATGAGACCGGATGGGTGAAGAATTGATGGATGATGATTCTGTGAAAACGGGCGGTGATGGGGAGGTGGAGGGGCGCACGAAACATCAACATGAAGGAACTAAAGGCAGAGAAAGAATCACATTTAAAAGAGAGCAGAACGATGATAGGCTGACAATGAAGGAGGAACGCCATGCCATTGGTTAGATGAGTACCGCTGACGAGACAGCTGATTATCCAATGACAGCTGGAGAATAACAGGGGAAACGTGAGCGAGCGTGCAAAAAGGGAAGAATGAGAGAAAGACCCGATCGTGAAGGCAAATATAAAGTCTTCCTGACTGAACTTACACCAGAGCTTCATATCAGAGACCAACATGTTTTTAATGTTTGGCAGGGAAAACAAGTTTTTAACAACAGAAAAAGACTGAAAGAAAATCTGCAGTACCATTTCTTTTTATGTGAAAAGATTTTTTAACAATATCTTTTATTATCATTTATGGAAAACACACACAGGTCTTCATATCTGGAAATCTGCTCCTCATTTATTCAGACACTTTATGTGAAATCACAAGAAGACACACACTTTGAATGTTTAAGGGCTTTATTGAAACACTAAATCTATATTTACAGACAGCTTCACAGAGAAACATTCAACATCCCACCAACCATTCAAGATCTTAACTCAAATAAAACTAACAACTTTTCTTTTCATCACATCAATGTGTGATCAGCTGAAGCATTTAAACTTAATATAAAAATATATATCACAGAAGAAAAAACAACATAGTCCTGATTACTAATGAAAAACCTTAAAACACAAACATTATAAATCTCTTGAGCCTCGTTTAAATCAACACACTTCATTACTTATGCAGAAATAAACAGTACTGAGGAGCTGGTGAATGGAGGCTATGGTCCTACAAGCGGGCGGACCAGGTTCAAATCCGACCTGTGGCTCCTTTCCTGCACGTCATTCCCGCTCTCTCTCTCTCCCTGATTTCAGACTCTATCCTCTGTCCTATCTCTACAGTAAAGGTACCAAAAGCCCAAAAAGAAATCTTAAAAAAATAAATAAGCGAAACTATTTACACAACTGGAAAACAAAATGTTTAATGTTTGTATTGTGTGTGTGTGTGTGTGTGTGTGTGTGTGTGTGTGTGTGTGTGTGTGTGCATAGGGCCTGACATCACTGATACAACATATCATGGTGTATGTTACTGCTATGTTTTCTACATGTTGGATTTAGTTATACTTTAAAGATGGAGTACTTTGACAAAAAGCTGTATCAAATAAATCATGAGAAAACTGGAGCTCAGTTCATCATTAGATAATAAAAAGAAAAACATCTTCATCGACACTTAAAGACGCTCAGGGGGCCAAATTCTCAACGCTCAATTGTGTTTCTTTTCTCCGAGTGGTCGAACACAACAAGAGACCAACAGCAGGGCTTTCTCACAATCTTCAATAAAACATCCTCTGGTTGATGTTTCTGTATTTTACAGCCACACATCATCATGATGTCAGACACTATGAGTATGGATCAGTTACTGGGGAGGTTTATCTGAGGTGTGTGTGTGTGTGTGTGTGTGTGTGTGTGTGTGTGTGTGTGTGTGTGTGTGTGTGTGTGTGTGTGTGTGTGTGTGTGTGTGTGTGTGTGTGTGTGTCTTTATTAACGTATTTATCACCAACATTTGTTTTAGCACAAAGCTCTGAACACCAGAAGTAGAAAAATCCAACTATGATGGATTTTAGATCAACACACAAATCTTTCTTCAACACATGAAGAGCGGCGTGATGCCGTCATAGATTCATCTTCTGATTCTCTTCTCTCCAGGTGACAAAAAATAAATCATCAAGTTTTCATTTAAATTTATTTAAGCGTCTTTTATCAGCGGAAAAGCTTTTTACATTTGAAACTAACGTCACCAAACAACCCTAAAGAAGATTTGTAAAGCATTTGTCAACTCTTTTTCAAACTTGTTTTCTTTGTATTTCAAAGATTTAAATTTAAATTCCCAACTCTGATCACTTCATGTCTGATACGATGAGAGCCAATGAATTCTGAGGAGAGCGTGTCGGTCTGCTCCTTGTTTCAGTGCAGAACGTACCCGTAAACCTTTAGAGAAAAAGACAGAAGAAAGAGAAAACATGACATTAAAAAATATTTATCATCACTTTTTTTACAGAATTTATCCACAAATCCAGGTTTTAACATCAAGGTCAAAGGTCACGGTGATTTCATCATTGAAGCACCTTTCTTTAAATCATCTCCCTTCACTTCAAATACACTTTTTCACTAAAATGAGTCATCAACTTTTTTACAATAACAAAGAAACGATCTCCTTTATGCAGTTTTATAATCAGATTTAAAGAATTACTGTAACAACCAAAAAGAAAAGAATAAGCTCGTATATGAAAACATGATAATAAACATGACAGGACTCAAAAACACGTTCACACACACACGGTTTAAAAACTGTGTGTCTTCCTCTGATTCCTGATTCCTCTTCCCCATTCACCTGTGACTCTCTTTTCTCTCTGCCTGTAGCTGTGGTTACCGCCTCTGTCCAGGTGACGCAGCAGCAGAAGTAATGTTTACATGCAGTGTCTTCCTGACTTACCACACACACCACCAGAACAATGACTATATCCTGAATTAAAGGCTTATTTCATGTAACTCACTGGGTTCAGGGTCCTCTCTTTGTCTTTTAGGTATTTTGATTTGGAAGCATCATTTGTTGCACAGCCGGGTCGTTTACCGCTGTAAGATCAGAAACACAATGTTAGCACACATCCGACTCTGAAACCATCATTTACACCAGAAAACACTCCAGAAACCCTTTTTCATTTACAGAGTTCATTTAAGGTCAAACTTAATATAATAAAATCAAGTTCTACTTACGGGATGGAGGGCGTTTGGCTGAAACAGAAAAAAAAAGATTGTTCTAGATTTATTTCATTGAAGGTTATTTAAGGTCCCCTCAAGAGAACTATTCACCAGATGTAAATATAAAAAACATGTTTGAATGTTTCCACTTTGCTCTCTCACCATTTCTCTTCTTATACAGGCAGAATCCAGCCACACAGACGATGGTTACAAGAAGGAGAACAACAGCGATGATGACAATGATCATGTAGATGGGATTCACTGTTGAACACAAACAACACACAGTCACACAACCTGTGATCAAACAGGTTAAAGGTTCATTAAAGACAAAGTTTCTCCTTCTGTCAGTTAGCTCGTCTTCATCACTGTACCTTTGATTCATTTTCTACATGTAGTTGTTTTTTCCCTTCACCTTTATGTCTTTTATTTCCATGTTTGATTGTGGCACAATGGTAACCGCTAACGATTACATTCAAACCCTTTTTTCTCAATATTATTGATTTAAAGTAATTTAAAGGTTAATGCGGCTGCACTGTGGTAACGAGCGGACAGACGGTAAAAAACAAAACGATTCTGTCCATTAATAATCTCTTTAAAGATCTCTGTGTTTGTTTCATCCTGATCCAAACCTTTAAACTCTTTTTCTGAATACTTTTACAATTTGAAGAGTTTGAAAGAAAGAAAAAGTCACAACTAAACTTTCCCTCCATCACACGACTGTTACAGTCAAATCCTCTCTTTCATCACTTCTCATCGAGGTCTTACCGTAGTTGGTCTTGATCTCTCGTTTGTCCAGTTTGGTGACGATGTCCTCCTTCACACCAGAGAGCTGAAACACACAGTCGTACTTCCCCCAGTCATCAGAGGGCAGTTGAAGGTCAGCGCTGATCTGGAAGGAGCCGTCGTGGTTGGGGAGGATCTCTCCCTTGTCCACGTCCTCGTGAAGCTCCTCTCCATCTTTCCTCCAGAACATCATGGCTCTGTTGGGGTAGAAACCTGTAGCGTGGCAGGTGACCCGAGAGGAGGGAGTCTTCTGGAGGAGAGACACTGTGGGGAGGTCTGGAGGACAAACAGGAAGACAGATTAGAGTTTCTTTATCAGGATTTACTCTTAAATACTGTTACAACTCATGTTTGATGACACTTTTTAAATGTACTGGGAAAAAAAGGGACTTTAAAATCCAGTGAGTCAACAATGAAAATCAACCTTATTAAAGTATAATTCAAAGAAGAGAGGGTCAGAGGGGAAGAAACAGAAGAAGAGAGGTGAGGGGGGTTCAGATGGATTGATGAAGAAGAAGAAGAGGAGAGAGAGAAAGTACAATAAAAACACAGAGAAACTTTGAGAGAGAGCGATGAGCAGCAGAGAGAAAGAGATCTAACATGAAGGGAAAGGTAAGGGGAAGCTTAAAGATGAAGACAGAGCATGTGTGATAGAAACATGTGTGAAATATTTATTGTTCAATTACAAGATAAACAAGAAAAGAAGAAGATGAACATTGTCAGAATTCAACTCCATCAGGTCATTTGATCCTACCTGTTCTCATCAGAAAGCTCCTCCCATAGTTCACATACTTCTTCAGCCAGTCAACGCACTCCTTGTTGAAGTAGTTCTTAAGATACTCTAACTCAGCTTTGTCTTTATCCCACTCTGTTTGATGAAGACAGCCTGTTGTTGTGGAGCGACCACGTCATTGTCTTCATGTCCAGAACTATGAAGTCTTCTCCATCATAACCAAATGATTGTAACCATTAACATCTCCAGTCTCATCATCCCACTCACAGCCTGCCATCACCTGGACAATGTGAACACCTGAGAGAGAGAGAGAGAGAGAGAGAGAGAGAGAGAGAGAGAGAGAGAGAGAGAGAGACAGAGAGAGAGAGAGAGAGAGAGAGAGAGAGAGAGAGAGAGACAGAGAGGAGATTGATTTTGATTTTTAAACAGACCTTTATTTTTCAGTCTTCTTACTGTTCAACAATAATATACATTCCTAAAATTCACAGATGAATTCACAAAATAAACAGATGTTACATCAGCACATGTCCATGAACTAACTGATCGTGCTCTACAGAGCACAGCACACTGTCATGAGTCCACACTGACTGGAAAGTCTCCAGCTCCTGATTTGCTCTGTAGAAGCTGAAGTCCAAAGACAACCTGGATTTTAACATTTTTACAAACAACAGCTTCACATAACAACATCGTCTGGCTCCTCCACCTTCCTCCTCCTACTCACGTACACGGCCATCTTAGCCTGACCAAGGACAAAGTTTATCAGCTGGCATTTGTGTTTGTGTTGTCGAGTGTATTTAAAACCACAAATAAAAACCTGCTTAGTAAAAAACTCTTTAAAACCACTAAAAACCTTCTCCAGAAGATCAAACAGAGGTTTCAGCCGACTGCACTGTAAAAACAGTGAAACACCGTCTCCCTGTGCACACAGAAAGGACACTGATCAACAACATTCATATTAAGAACAGAGATAAAAGAGTTCACAGCAATGATTCCATGCAGGATTCTCCACTGGAGGTCTGCATGTCTCTTACACAAGGGGGTTTGTACAAACTCCCAGGAGGGTCTAAACTCAGGAGCTAGCCCCAAATAAGTCCTCCAGGGGTGTCACTGCGTGCGTTCAGTGTCTTTTTATTCAAAGTCTTAACAATCAGTTTGTAAAGAGTCTTTCCTGCAGCGTTGGCCAGTAGAGGACCAGAACAGTCCTTCAGGTCTGCAGACAGAGTGAACTCAGGAAACGGGTCAGTTTGGTCGGGCAGCAGAGAACCGTCCCCATAGTCCGACATCAGAGATCTCTTGTCCTGTCAGCTGATGTCTCCAGTGCTTCAGCAACCGATCAACGACTCTGGTCGACCTCACCCCCAGACGAGCAGCCAGACCAGCAGGACAGTCCAGCTGAGGTCCCGTCAGCTCCACCACCTGCTCCAGAGTGGAAATCCTGGCACTGCAGAACTTTCCGGACAGGCTCGGTCCAGCCCAGTCAGGAAGATGAAACGACCTCCAAACAGTACAGGCTCTTTAAGCAGCCAGTACAAAGAGTGGGAGTGTCCCTGTCTCTGCCTGTTCACCAGACTCCACACGTTAAAAACACTTTGATAAAATCCAGTGACAGAGGAAATGTTCACTTGCTGTAAATCCATTAAAAACAGAGACGAGCTCAGCCCCAGTTCTCCAAACGCTGTAGAAGACAGCAGGCCAGCGGTCTCCAGACCAGGTCTGCAGGCCCAGTGAGTAGTCTCTGGAGGAACTGCAGGCGGAGAGTAGCCCCCTGCTGGCCAGGTGAACTAGTCCATGTCCTCCTTCCTCTTTAGGGAGGAAGAGCACACTCTGAGGAATCAGTGTAACCTGTCCAAAAGAAATCAACTAACACTCTTGAATGTTACAAGGAGAGAGGCGGAGGGTCGATACAGGTCAGTCTGTGCACAGGGCAGAGGAAAGGTTATTGGCCAAAGTACACGAGTACACGACCTTTAAAAGACATCTTTGGCAACAGCCACCTCCATTTATCAAGACGTCCTTTTACTTTTTCTAAAACACCCTCCCAGTTTTTACTGACAAAAGTTTCATTCCCCAAAAACACTCCCAAATATTTAAAACCTCCTGACTTCCAAAAGAGGCCTCCAGGCAGACTGAGCCGACCCCTCAGCTTCTCTCCCACCATCACTGCTTCACTTTTCAGCCAGTTCACTTTGGCAGAAGATATCGACCCAAACAAAATCACAGTTTCTTTTAAAACATCGATATCTCTCTGCTGGTTGACAAAAACAATGACGTCATCAGCATACGCTGACAATTTAAAACTGACTTCTGAGGCAGGAAAACGAACACCAGAGAGACCTGACCTCAGTCTGTGAAGCAGGGGTTCGATGGCTAAGGAATATAACATCCAGATAATGAGCAGCCCTGCCTCACCCCCCTCTGTACACTAAAAGGAGCACTCAGGCCTCCTGATCTTTAGCACACTCGCAATGTCACGGTACAAAACCTGGATCTTAGCTAAGAAACATGGGTTGAACCCAAAGGCGGTTAGAGTCCGCCATAGATACTGGTGTTCAACCCGATCAAAAGCCTTTTCCTGGTCTAGTGAAATCAGACCAGTGTCTACAGCCAATGAACCAGAGACTTCCAAAACATGCCGAATAAGAGTGATGTTATCACTGATGAGCCTGCCGGGCACACAGTAGGTCTGGTCTGAGTGGATGATCGACCCCATCACCTGCTTAGTCTGGATGCCAGGACCTTAGACAGGATTTTGTAGTCTGTGCAAAGTAATGACACTGGTCTCCAGTTCTTTTAGATCCTGAAGGTCGCCTTTCTTTGGCAGCAGAGTGATGACTGCTCTCCTGCAGCTCAGAGGCAGACGACCCCTCTCCAAACTGTCTCTTAAAACCTCCAGGAGATCCTCTCCCAGCACACTCCAAACCACTTTATAAAAGTCAACAGGAAGGCCATCAATACCTGGAGCTTTTCCATTCTGCAGACTCATGACAGCAGAGTAGAGTTCAGACAGAGACAGCTGGGCCTCAAGCTGTGTTGTTTTCAGCGCTGACTTGAGGAAGACCAGTGTAGAAAGACTCACACACCTCTGGACGATCAACGAACTCACTCGTGTACAGATCCTTATAAAAACCAGCTGCATGTTTTCTGATCCCAGCAGAATCTGAGATCGATTGTCCACGTTTGATCGTACAGAGTGAAAGTTTAATCTGTTTAATCTGACTTTTTCCAAAGTCCCACCACTGCTGAATGGTTTTAAAGACTTAAGCTGTCTGTGAGTGACCCAAAAGTACTCCAGTGCAGACTTAAAAGCTTATATTGTGCAGCAGTGTGGTGTTAAAATGCCAATACGCATTTGAAGTCTGACATTCTTAATAAAAACAGAACAATAAACGAGACAGTGATCAGTGAAGCCTACAGGGACAATAAGACACTCTTTAAAAACATTCATGTTGTGTTTAAAACAATAAAAGAGATAAAACATTGTCTTAGAAATGACTCCATGTACTGTCTGTGTGTGTGGTGTAAACTCCTCCATAAACATCCAGCAGCTCGTGTGTTTCTAAAAAACTGTCTGAGTCTGTGTGAAGGCGCTGTGAGGCTCTTGGTGGTTTCTATCTAAACCTGGGTTTGCTGTACAGTTAAAATCCCCCCCAAGAATAAATACTCCCCTGTATTGCACTTTTTAACAGTGTCAACACAAACACTCAACACACCCAACCTGTCCACAGCGTGACATGGGACGTACACATTAATCAGAGTCATCTTTACATTTTCATACTGCACTCTAAATTTTCAATAAGCAGCCTTCAATGACCTCCTCTACTTCACACGAAGCAGGCAGAAAGCCTCTAGAAAACATAAAACCAACTCCTCCACTACAGGTGGACTTTATGGCTGAGGATCACCTCCCCAGGCCACTCCTTCCTCCACTGACACTCGTTCTTAGAGTCACTGTGTGACTCCTGAAACATTAAAATATCTAACTTTTTGAACTCCATCAGTTGAGATAGTGCAGCTCTTTTTGCATCGTCTCTCGCTCCATTTAAATTTAAGGTGCCAATTTTAAATTCACACATGGAGAGGTAGGAGTTTAAAAAAGAAACAAGATAA